ACAAGACTTTAGTGCTGACTATGTATTGGAGGTTCCCATGACTTCCTTGGGTTTGATTAATTTGCTAGAGTGGCTCATGGAACTCAAGAAAATGTTTTACTTACTAGATTACTGTTCATTATAAATGGATATAACTCAGGAGCAGCCAGATAGAAGAGATTCACGTAGGGCAAGGCATGAGGGAAAGGGTGTGAGGCTTATATACCCTCTGTGGGTGTGCCGCTCGCCCAGCACCTCCAGGTGTTCACCAACTTGGAAGCTCTCCAGACCCTTCCTTTTGGGTTTTTTCTTTTAAAGGCTTCATTACATAGACACAGTTGATTAAATCCTTGGCCACTGGTGATTGATTCAACGTGTATCTTCTCCCCTCTTGAAGCTTGAGGGTGAGACTGAAAGTTGTAACTCTAATCTTGATTGGTTCCCCTGGCAACCAGCCCCCATCCCTAGAGAGACTCCGGAAGTCACCTCATTAACATAAGCTTCGGTGTGGTTGAAAGAAGCTGTGATGAATAACAGAAGACACCCATTTCCTCTGGAACTATTTTAGGCACTGGAACTACGACTAAAGACTTAAAACAAAAGATGCCCCTATGGATTCTCTAGGACATTACAAGGGTTTTTGGACCTCTGTACAGGGAACCATAGATGAAAACCAAATCTATTTTCTTACTATAAATTATAGTATCACCTATAGTGTGTACTTAGTGAAAAGTTTTGATGTTTATTTAGTAAAAATAGGTATGAGTTCAAATGCCACCTCTTTTCAGCAGCCACGTTTATAACCTTAAACAGGTTTTGTTTGCTGTTTAATTTACATAAGAAATAAAAGCATTCTTTTTTACAACTGATTAAACTATATCAAAGTGTATAAAGTGTGAAAGTCCTCCTCTACCCTTTTCCCTCTGCTGAAAGTAGAAAATCCCTTTCTTTTACAGAGGTACTGTTTTCATTGTTTAACTTTATATTTTTTCTTTTGTGAATTTATGAAACCATTTGGACATAAATGCAGTAGAACTTTTAGAACATAAATGGGATTGTGCCACACTTAAAAGTGTCTTGAAGATCTCTGGGTTGTCCACTGATGTATATAGTGACCACATACGATTTTGTAGTCTACCTGCTCCATAGTTCACCAATTGCTGATTGATGAACACTGCTTTTTTTCCCTAATTTATGCTATTCCAGATACTGCTGCAGTTAACATTCTTACACATTTATGTTTGCAAGTACATGCGTGGGTATTTTCTATACTTGGTAAGAAAGATGACTAGAAGTGAAATTGCTTTGTGAAAGGGTATACACATTTACAATTTGCAAATATCTTACCATCTTGCCTTTGAAATTCCTGGATTTGATTTGCTAATGTTTTATATAGCAATTTTGCATCTTTGATCATAATTGGCAAAGGCCTCATTGTGGAATCCTGCACACACAGTGGGTTGCAATACAGGAAATGAACTCTAACCTTGGGGAATTATAGTAAGCAGAAATAGGTCTGCTCTTTTTCCCACAGGGAGACATTGCCACATCCCTCAGAGAGGCTCGCTGGGAACACAGTCCTAAGAAGTGGTCTGGGTGAAGAGCAGCCAGGGCCTTCTTGGCATACCCTGCAGAAACATCCCTGGCAGCTTGTGTCCCCCACATCAGTGTGTCTAGGTGCCTTCAGTGGTGTAAGCCAGAAATATGTGAATCATCTTTGTCATTGCTGCCTTCTTGTATTCACTGCATCACCAAATTCTGTAAATTTTTTTTTTTTTTTAAGATTTTATTTATTTGCGAGAGAGAGAATGAGAGATAGAGCATGAGAGGGAGGAGGGTCAGAGGGAGAAGCAGACTCCCTGCTGAGCAGGGAGCCTGACGTGGGACTCGATCCCGGGACCCCGGGATCATGACCTGAGCCTAAGGCAGTCGCTTAACCAACTGAGCCACCCAGGCGCCCCAAATTCTGTAAATTTTATCTCCTAAATACTTTTCAAAGAGTTCTTCCCCCTCCCCCCCTCTACCACCTCTCCAGTCTGTTATCATTTACTTATACTCCTACTTTGGCCTCTTACCCATTGCCTTCTTCCAATGTGTTTTCTCTCCAGTCAGGACTGATCTTGTAAAACATAGATGTAGTCATGCCATCTGACTTACATAAAACATTTTATTGGTTTGAGAAACAGCAAGGAGGTCCAGTGGCTAGAATGGAATAAGGAGAGAACAGGAGAGGAGATCAGGAAGGTAATGGAAAATCAGGTTGTTTCTGACCCGTTAGATGGCTACTAACATTTTGGCTTTTATTCAGAGTCAGAGTAGAAGTCAGGAGGGTTTTAGTGACATGATTTGACCAGTTATAAAAGGATCACTGACTGCTGTGTTAAGAATACACTTATGGGGGAGGAAGCAAGTACATAATCTGAGAGATTATTTAGGAGGTTGTTATAATAATCTAGTGCAAGATGATGGTGTCTTATACCATGCTGGCAGGAATGGAGGCAGTAAGAAGTGGTCAGATTTTGGATGTATTTTGTAGGTAGAACTATAGAACTTGCATTTTGCATAGAGGATATGAAAGAGAGCCAAGTTTGATTCCTGAGCTACTGGATCGATGATGTGTCATTTACTGAGATGGGGATGACTGTAGGAGGTTTGGGAGGATTTGGATCAGGAGCTCAGTTTTAGTCATGTTCAGTGTGAAATACTTACTAGGAGTAGACTTGCATGTAAGAGCTGTTTAGTAGGCAGTCGAATATTAGTCCGGAGTTCATGGAAGAGGTCTGGGCTGTACGTACATGTTTGAAGTTGTTCGTGTATAGATAGATAGATGTAAGGTTACCAAAGGAGTGATTGCAGATGAAGAAGTCCCAAGCCCTCCCACTTGAGAGGCTGATGGAATGAGGAATACCAGCAGTAAAACTTGAGGCTGAGCTCTTCATAGAATGCTTCTGCTTACCTGTCGGACTCAATTTTCTGCTCCTTCTCCAAGCTCCAGCCACAGTGGCTTTCTGTCCATTGAATGTGCTAAGCTCATTTCCAACTTAAGACCTTGGCACTTGCTCTCCTTCTACTTGGGAGCCACTTTCCTAGATCCTTATGTGGCTGCTTCCCTTTTGTCATTTGTCGTGAGGTCTCAGCTCAGAAGTGAGTTTCACAGAGAGGCCTTCCTTGATGACCTTAGCTAACGCAGCGAGGTGTTTGTACAAGAATCCTCACCCACAAAATGTAGCACCTGGTCTACTTAGGAGCAGTGATTCTTTTTTTAGATTCTACTGAATCTTCGTACGAGTTTTAATATCTGATTATTAATAAAATGTTAAAATAATTTTTATAGTATACATGTTATAACTGTATAGCTTGATGAATTTTCACAAACTGAACTTACCCAGAAGAATTGACAGTATTCTCGAAGCCGCTCTTGTTGCCCCTTTTCAGTCACTAACTCCTTTCCCCATAGTTACTGGATAATCACTATTTTGACTTAACTCATCAGATTCGTTTCAGCTGTTTTCTTTTGTATCTGGCTTCTTTTGCTGAAGAATATATTTGAGTATGTAGTTGTAGTTCATTCATTCACATTAATTTCTGGTTTACATAGCTTGAGGTTATATTAGATGGACCTAAAGAGTTGTGACTATTGTCCTTAAACCCCTAGATTGATTTTGTCTGAAGTCAATTGAACTCACAAGTCTCTGAGTTCTCCAGTTTTGTTCTTCTTAAGTGTTGATTTGGCTATTCTAGGTCTTTTACTTTCCATATTATAGTTCCTTTGCTTTCTCATGTAAATTTTAGAATCAGCTTGTCTATTTTTACAAAAAAAGCCTGGAATTTTCATTGGATTATATATAGTCTGTAGATCTATTGGGGAGAATTGACATCTTAGCAATTTTGAGTCTTCCTATTCATGAACAGTGTTTCATAATTTTCATAACTTGTACATACTTTGTTAGATTTACTTAAGTACTTTTTTGTACTATTTTAATGCCAATTTTTTTAAAAAAAATTTCATTCTGCATTTGTTCATTGTTATTATAGTTATTATATAGAAATATAGTTGAAGTTGAATTTGGTATATTGACTTTGTATTCTATGACCTTGGTAGGTTAAAGGTACTTGTTAGTTTCATTAATTAAAAAAAAAAGTTCTTTGGGATATTCTATATAGTGATGCAAGTCAATTGTAAATAGATACAGTTTTATATCTTCCTGTATAATCTGTGTGCCTTTTAGATCTTTTTCTTACTTTGGTGTGCTGTCTAGACCTTTCATTATGTTGCTGAATAGAAGTGGTGAGAACAGACATCTTTGCCTTGTTCCTTTGTAGGAACAAAATGGTAGTGGCAGTCCTTTACTGTTAAGGAGGATAGTAGCTCTGTGTATTTTTGTAGATGCCCTTCATCAGGTTGAAGAAGTTCCTATCCTTAACTTGCTGATTCTTTTTTAAAATCATAAATGGATATTGGATTTTGTCTTTTTTTTCCCTGTACCTGTTGAGAAATTCATATGGTTTTCTTTTAATTTGGCCATGTAGTGAATTATTGATTGTTGTAGTGAATTACTGATTATTGTAGTATATTGGTTGTTTTCCAGAAGTATTTTTAAAAAATTAAGCATCATTTAGCAAGTCTTAATTTTTTTGACTACTGCTTATTAAATCCCATATCTGACTGCCTATCTGTCGATCTAGTATATCTTTTCTCCATGGCTCTTATTACCACCAGCATGCTGTATGTTCTATTTATTTATTTGTCTATTCTGCCCATCCTCAGTGGAATTTAAGTTCCATGTTTAGTTCTCTGTTGTATCGCCAGTCCCTAGAATGTTGTCTGGAATTAAAGTAGGATTCTGTAAATATTTGTTCAGTAAGTGAATATCTGCTCTCAAGGAGTTCATAGTCTAGGAGGCGAGAAAGCGGTACAGAAATGTGATACAACTTAGGAGAATTAAAACACAATTCTTTGGGAGCTCAAGCTGGGGGAGACTAAGTTCATGTAACAGATTTCTTTTCCTTTTTTCTATCAGATTTGAAAGAAGATACATCTAGGGAAAATTTATTTAATGATGCAGAAAATAAGAAGAATTCAATAAAAATGTGGTTTAGTCCTCGAAGTAAGAAGGTCAGATATGTCATGAGTAAAGTTTCAGTGCAAACCCAGCCTCAAGTGATAAATGATGAGAATGCTCAGCAGGCTTCCATGTACGAATTTGTTTCTACAAGTCCTCCAACAAGTGTTTCTGAGAAGGCTAAAAAGGCTTCTGCAAGATCTGGAAAAAAACAGAAGAAGAAAACTTTAGCTGAAATCAACCAAAAATGGAACTTGGAGGCAGAAAAAGAAGATGGTGAACTTGACTCCAAAGAGGAATTAAAGGAAAAGCTGGTGTCCTTCTGCAACCAGCCGTCTGTTATCCCTAATCCTCAGACAAATGGTGAGATAGACTTACTCGCCAGTGGCTCTGCCGTGGAATCACAGGGTTGTGGCAGCCTAACTGAAGTCTCTTTACCAGTGGCTGAGCACATAGAGTCCCCAGCAACGGAGAGCAGGAATGAAGAAGTGACTCCCAAGAAGAAGCTCTGTGCAAATCCTCATCCATCTAAGCAGTGCTTGCTGTCAGGTCCCAGTGGGCAATGTGCGTGTCGCAGCAGACGGTCCAGTCCCGTCCCTAAGAGATGCAGGAGCAGCATTCCTGGCACCAGCAGGCAGCACATAGTGCTTTCGGAAAACAAACCGTCGCCTGGCTGCCCCTCACCACCCTCAAGCAAACTCAAAGTTGGTGACACATTAAGGCGGAGAAAGAGTAATGTATCAGACGAGTCCATGAGCCTCTCACGAGGTATGCCACCTGCTGTACTGAACAGCCCAAGTTACAGACGGATGATGTCTAGCCCCTCAGCAGCGAAGCTGTCACCCACTAGCCTTATGGCTGTGAAAAGAAATCATAGAGGAGAGACTCTGCTCCATATTGCTTCCATTAAGGTAGGATGCTTACCCTGAAATACAGTTTTGGAATGAGACCAGCCATAAAACAATTTCTGCGGGGCTTATGAACAGTGACATAAGATGACTAGGATAATTAGCCTACCACATGTGATACTTCCTTTAAACCAGAGAAGAAAATTCACAGGGACCGCCTCCCCACCTCAAAGCAGTGGCCCCTGGGCCTGAGGAGCATGATCTTGCAGGAGAAAACTAGTATTTCAATATTTCAGCTTCTACTTTGCCAAGGGCTTTCATTTGTCTATTCCATAATGGTTTTGTTCAGTTTTCACCACATTCTCCTGCTTTATGAATACAGACAATTGCCAAGTTCTGCTGGCAGCACATCTTTACCTAGCCAGAGAGCTAGGGACTATGTGGGAGGTGACAGACTTCTGTATGTCGGATGCTTGTCGTGGGCACTGCCAGGATTTGCAAGGTTGAAAGTTGTGGTCCGTACCTTTTTCCAATGACCTGGAAATTTGACTCTCAGAACTGGCTCCCATGGTTGACCATGAAGGAGTTTGTCTGTATCCCACAGCCAGCCATTTCTTTACTAGCCTATCCATTAAAGTTACCTCTCTTTATTTACTGCCTCAACACTGGAGGTGTGGCAGTGTGAGTTTTTGGGAACCTAGCCCGTTTGTCAGGCATGAGATATACTTGCAAGGGTTCATCTTTGCAGCTGACTCAAGAACCGCACATACGGGGAGCACTTAGCACCAAGCTTCATAGACTGTGATTTCATGCAAGTGTTATCAAAATAAAATACGGGAGAGCTTAGGACTGAATTAGGGATAACTTTTATGATCTTTTAGTAAATACGCCAGGAAATCCTTGAGTCTTTTGCGTGCGTAGAGAACTTTGGGGGATCTGGAAGCCATTGGAGACTCCCAAACATAGGGCTGGTCGGCAACATGAAACATCTGGGAAGAACATGGAGTAGACATTGAGCCCAGGCATTCCTATATTTTTGTATGGAGAAAGGGAAAAGCATAAAAAGGAGTTTCCCCAACTGTTGGGGTTTTCTTTCTTTTTTTTTAAAGATTTTATTTATTTGACAGAGAGAGAGCACGAGTAGGCAGAGAGGCAGGCAGAGGGAGAGGGAGAAGCAAGCTCCCCGCCGAGCAGGGAGCCCAATGTGGGACTCGATCCCAGGACCCTGGGATCATGACCTGAGCTGAAGGCAGACGCTTAACAGACTGAGCCACTCAGGCACCCCTGAATTTTTGTTATTTATAAATGTCCCTTATAGATGGATGCCTGTTCGCTTCTATTCTTTTGCTTTTATGAACAGTGCTGTGGTAAGCAATCTTTGTTTCATATGTGAGGGGGTGTGTCTTTAGACTAAATTCCTGGAAGTGGACTTCTGAGTTAACGTTAGGCATCTGTTACCTTATTTATCTTGATAACCTCCGTACTTGGCAGTAGAAAGGTCTTAGTAAATATCCGGACTGCCTAAATTCAGGCTACTTGAACGTAGAGAGCTACTCTATTGCCTGCAGATTCTGTTTGTAATGATCAGTTCTCAAATCCTTTTTTCCCCTCAGAATCATGGATTTACAGATGAGCCATCTAGTTTTTGGACATCCAGCAGTATTTTAATGCAAACCCCACACAGGATTATTCTTGAATTCCTTATTTATACTGTCATTTTATTACACTGTGGAATTTCAAGCAGAGTATTCATTAATATGATGTCTGGGATGTTGTGCATATTCTCATTTAACCAGAACAAAAGTTGAGATCCAGTCGGTTCTCTTTATTGCCTGTGTTTCTATTTGTATTTAAATGTGAATGTCACCTATGGTTAAAATGCTACTGAGAACATTGTTATAAATGTGAGATTTTATGAGAAAGTGTTACACCTAAGTAGAAACTAAGATAAGCACTCATTATTTGTTCTTCTGGTATAATTTTTAAAACCTTAGTATTTGATATTTCTTTAGACATAGAGAAAATTTTGTTATTAAGTCACCTTTGCTTGAAGATTGGTAGTTTTGGAATAAACATCCTCAAGTTTCTAGCAGATTATTAAAATCGTAATGATTACTCATAATTCATGCTACAGCACTGAATGTATCATGAAATAGAAGAAAGAAAGGCTTGACCTTGGCATGTCATGATACACTTTTTATTTTTTTTAAAGATTTTTATTTATTTATTTGACAGAGAGAGACACAGCGAGAGAGGGAACACAAGCAGGGGGAGTGGTAGAGGGAGAAGCAGGCTTCCTGCCGAGCAGAGAGCCTGATGCGGGGCTCGATCCCAGGACCCTGGGATCATGACCTGAGCCGAAGGCAGACATTTAACAGCTGAGCCACCCAGGTGCCTCCATGATACACTTTTGATACAGACATAATGAATCATATTTTGAAGGCAACTTACAAGGCATGATACACTTAACAAAGGTGATGGGAATCTCCTGGGTGGAGAGAGAACGTCCCTTGTGAGGAGTCTCCTTCAGGGTTTGACTTTATAATTCATTGTATTTTAAGGTAGTCATGTTGTGTGTAAAGACACGTTACTACATATCCTTCATGCTACCTTCCTGAGAAAGTAGCAGAGAACTTTGAAGCAAACTCGCATCTATGATATTTTCAAGATTCTAATTTCTAGAACATCCCTTGGACTCAGTATCCATTTTTCCCTCTGTCACCCACCACTTTTATAATACTGAACCTCCTTAATATCAGGAACTTACCATCACAGACTAGGGTGTCAGAATCATCTGTGAAACTGTTTTATTCAGTAAAGTCTGAGAAGCCAGGGAAGTGTTTAATGTATTTTAGAACTTCATTCTGGATGACTAAAAAGATTTTCTAATATCTAGTTGCCAAAAGAAGAAGTTTTAGGTAGCTGATTAGTTCATTTATGTGGAAAAGCTTAACCATTTGGGTAAGTCATCATTATTTTAATGTCCTGTACCATTTTTTATCAAGATATTTACTCTTAATTGTATTTTAGAAGAGCTAATCTTTATAATAAGGAAAAATAAGTGTGTGTGTGTGTGTGTGTGTGTTTGGAAAGTCAGTTTATACTGCTGTGACATGTATGGATGTGTGAAGAATCTTTTTGAACTAAAGGTTAGCAATAAGAAAATTGCTTGTGGTACACATCTTCCTTTATTTTCAGCCTCTTAGGTATTACTTGAGAATACCAAATCCATTTAAAATTTCTTACAAGCCTTGGTATAAACTTTCCTTAGATGATTTTTTTTTCTTGCTGTGGTTTAAGAAAATCTCAGTTATTCTTTTAAGTTGTGGGGAGTCTAAAAGAAGTGAGTACTTATTACTCAGAAGATATTCTGTTAGCAAAGTCAGTAATTTAAAGAAATTAGAAGCATTTAATTTATTTCCCAGAAACTCCATACTGGTTCAAGCTTACTCAGTTTCTGTGGGCTCTATCTAATTTTCATAATTTTATTTATGTGCATGACCTTAAATTTACATAAAGTAGAACAATGAAATTATGACAAACTTTTTAATACTATGGAGGAGAAAGCAGATTGGATATAAATTACAAGTACTTTGCAAATTGGCTATGTGTTTTGGGGAAGTCTAGGGATGGTTTGTTAACAGAAGACACTTTGATAGTATGACGAGGTGACATGAAAGAAAAATACCACTGTCTAGCAACCTTACAAGAGAGTCTGCTTTTAGTCTTTAGATTGTCACTGTTTCTATGTGACTGTTCCCCTGTGATTCTTCGTCCCACCATTGTGTTTATATTATTTTATGGGCTTCTTTAGGTTAATATGTTTTTGTGACTACTATGTAGAATTAGAATGAGGAAATCTTTCAGAAGACTCTGTGTGTGTGTGTGTGTGTGTGTGTATGTTTTCATGTTAAAGGTTGGAAATGTATGAATGTATGTGGTTCTCGCAGTTTATCTGCCCCAATATTCATGGGATTGTTTAAGAAAATTCAAATTTGTATCTTGACAGATGTTCCTGGTTTTATTTGGAATTGACTTGAAGATAGAGCAAATGGTGCTAAATAAATGTTAACTTGTACTAGTATAGAATTTGCACCCCTAAGAAACTATGGGAAAATGTTTTTTTAACTGAAACTGGGGCAATTGATTTGAAACATATATAATGCTTATTTTTTAGATCCATTAAGTATATAGGGTCATTTTGTTAATTTAGGAACATAAAGATGGATGTTGCAAATGGATTTTTTTTTTTTTTTTAAGAAAACTAAGTAAGTTATCATCTTAAGATTTCCTGTGTTTGAGAGGTAGCCCAAAACAAGCAAATAAAAGTTACTGTCTTTAGGAGACTTAGGGACTTCTAGATAATCAGACCAAGAGGGGAAAAACTCATTTCAGAAGAATATTGGAGCTGGGAGTGGGAGAGGAGAGATTTCCTTCTCCCTAAAGAAGCTCTTCACAAAACCAGTTGAACACAGCTTTGTCATAGGTAACTTTTGCCATATGTAACTTTTATTTATTCAGCCTTTTTCGGGTTAAGCTGTTTCAGTATTTGGAGGAAATAAGCCTGGCATTTGCCTAGAAAAATACCTTAGAGCAAATAAGGTGAATATAAACTAAATTGTATTAAGGATAAAGGGAGTAACTGTCAATAAGAAAACAATTTTTGGCAGTTTTAACTGAGTAATCTTGTTAGCCTTAATTTTGCTTTAAACAGTACTTGGAAATCATTTTAATGCATCCTCAAAAAGGATGTTTTTCACAAATGAAGTGATGACTTTAAATACTTCATTATCATTAGTTGATTTTTGGCTAGTGCCCTTTATTTGGTATTTTGAAATGACTTTTGATAAGGGTTGCTAATCGCAGGGATTTTATACTTGATATTCAAGGATGGACTATATGACTTCATGACTTGATACCTCAGAACAGTTCATCCATACATTACTTCTTATTTATTATTCATGAGCAGTAGGCATTAGAGAAAAGATTTACGTTTGATTCTGTCTTTAAGAAGACAGAATCTTAAAACCAAACCCAAATCTCAGTATCTTCTTTCTTGATGATTTTAATTTCTTTTTATTTTTTCATTTGTCTACTAGGGCGATGTACCTTCTGTTGAGTACCTCTTACAAAATGGAAGCGACCCAAATGTTAAAGATCATGCTGGATGGACACCATTGGTAGTTTTCTCTTTGTTTTTTATTCTCATTTTGTTTATGTTTTATAGTTATTATACTTTATAGTTATATAGTTGTCTGTATATTACCCTCTGCAGTATTTACTCTCTTTTTAATCTGAAGAACTTGTATTTTCACCAAGTAAGGGAAAATGATGATTTTTCATCTAGCTTTTCAATTGTGACAGGCAAGAAATTGGCTACCTTTTCACCGACTACCTTTAGATTTAGGAATCTAGTTATACTGTATTGTGTTTTTTTTTTTTTTTAAGATTTTATTTATTTATTTATTTATTTGAGAGAGAGAGAGAGAGAAACAGCATGAGAGGGGAGAGGGTCAGAGGGAGAAGCAGGCTCCCCGCTGAGCAGGGACCCCCCCCCCCCCATGCGGGACTCGATCCCAGGCCTCCGGGACCATGACCTGAGCCGAAGGCAGTCGCTTAACCAACTGAGCCACCCAGGTGCCCTACGCTGTCTTGTTGAATGTAGCTGACATGGAGGTAGCTACTGCAACCGACATCAGGCTCCCTTTGGCCACATTGCATGTCATTAGAACCAGATTTCTTGGAACAGAGAGAGGTCAGAGGAACAGGGTATAGGATTGTATCACAAGGCAGTGATTCTTACTGAGGATCTGTTGTAGCCTCGTTTATACCCTACCTAGTTGCAAATATATAGAGGCAGTAGAAAATCTTGGCTTACATTAAACATTTTTAAAAAACCCTTGTTATTACTAAAAATGCAATGTGAAGTATAGTCTGGAAAAGGAATGGCACAAATTCATGGGAACAATGCGACCTGGGCTCATTGTGGGCGATTTGAAGGCAGCCGTAGAGCTGTCAACAGAGGAGGTGGAAGCCCTTACCTGTGAGCTGGAAATCGGGAGATTTTCATTAGGCCAGGTATAAACAAGGTTTAAAGTTGTGAATAATAACTTCTCACCAAATTCCTTTTTTTTTTTTTTTTTTTAAAGATTTTATTTATTTGACAGAGCACAAGCAGAGGGAGAGAGAGGGAGAAGCAGGCTCCCCGCCAAGCTGGGAGCCCGATGTGGGACTCTATCCCAGGACCCTGGGATCATGACCTGGGCCGAAGGCAGCCGCTTAACCGACTGAGCCACCCAGGCGTCCCTCACCAAATTTCTAAGCTAGGAGGGTTTAGTGTCTGTTGGAGTCACTTGTTGTTTTGACTCCACGGGCTAGCTAACCTTTTCAAAGAAAGGTCAGGTTTTTTGTTTTTGTTTTTTGTTTTTGTATTTTTCAGCCAGTAAGGCAAATTGTAGTAAAGTTTGGTGAGTGATTTATTAGAGGAGCTGATGTCTAATTTGGCTTCTTTCCTCCTAGAAATAGCCCTACAGACATTTTGTGTGGTATTGCTTATTATGAATGAAACAGATGTACTTAAAAAGCACAGTATGCCCAAGATTTATTGGAGGACAATATAGTGGCCTCATTAACAGTTCATTAGACATAAGGAAAGATTTGCACGTGAAGCATCTTTGCACATCACATTGTTACCCGTTACATCATTCATTCTTTTTGAGCGCTTACTCTGTGTTATTTGTGTTACCATCAATACCAGCCATATAGTAATCTGTAGCTTCAGCAAATAGAGAGGATTGTCTTGTAAATACTCTCTCCAGGATATTCACTTGGTGGGGTGATGATGCATATGTGTGGGTGCACCACTTAGCACATGGCTAAGTACCTGATTGATTGAATCCTATTCAGCCATGGAGAATTTCACTTTTTATGCATGATCTAATTGTTAAATACTTTATTTTTTTTTAAATTTTTTTTAAAGATTTTATTTATTTATTTGAGACAGAGAGAATGAGATACAGAGAGCATGAGAGGGAGGAGGGTCAGAGGGAGAAGCAGACTCCCTGCCGAGCAGGGAACCCGATGCGGGACTCGATCCCGGGACTCCAGGATCATGACCTGAGCCGAAGGCAGTCGCTTAACCAACTGAGCCACCCAGGCGCCCCTGTTAAATACTTTCTAAGTCTTTTGTTGTTTGTAATTTTTTACTATGGATCAGTTTAGGAACTAGACTTGGTTTATACACGTACAGAGTTGGTCAGCTACATTTTCTTCTTAAAAAAAGAGTAGTTGACCAAAGGCTCAGATAAGTAACACCATTTTCCATGAATTGCGGAGATCTTGATCATCATGTATCTAACTAAGATTATGAATGGGGCTTTACTCTGAGTCAACACTTACAGTCTGTATGAATACTTAGATAAGAACCAATTTACTGACAAGTTCACATTTATTTTTCTCAAGTGCAATTTTATTGATATTATGCATTGTTCTTCCTCATCGCTTTTCTCCCTTCCTTTCTTCCTTACTTAGCATGAAGCCTGCAATCATGGGCACCTGAAGGTAGTGGAGTTGTTGCTACAGCACAAGGCATTGGTGAACACCACTGGCTATCAGAACGACTCACCGCTTCATGATGCCGCCAAGAACGGGCACCTGGATATAGTCAAGCTCTTAATTTCCTACGGAGCCTCCAGGAACGCCGTGTAAGTCATTAAACAGTGTTGTTTAGTTGCCTTGTATTCCTGAGTCAAGACTGTGACGGAACACACCCTGTAAGACCCAGGTAGATGGCTCCCTTTCTTGTCTTTCACAGCTGAGGTTAGACGTGACCATTATATTCTATATTTAAAATCAGCATTCGTGCCCTTTTTCTTTGGGATACTTACATTTTGAGGGCGTTTTGCTCCTTTACTTTAGAAACAATTGCCAAATTAATTTCGGAAGCTTTGATTTTTCTGCATAAATTCACTTAATTATATTCTGTAGATTGAGTCATACTTATTAATAAGAAAAGGAGTGTAGAAATAACTATTTTGTATGCTTTCCAGTACTTCAGAATTTGTATTAAAAATTATATTTTTTGTGCTTTTTCTGCATATTTAGTTAAAATATGTAAGAATTCAGATGTTGGGCAAGTGCTATCGAGTTATTTCTTAGACTTTTCACATCATTCAAATGAAGCTCTGGGTAAATTGTTTTGCGGTGTCAGGGCACAGAGATGCATTAGTGAATGCTGGCGGCTGCATTTTAAAATTGCTATTGTCAAGAGTGTCACAAGCAATTGCCGTATGTGAATTTTATATCTTTAATCTTTAATCTATAGCTTGGATCATGTCTCCCTATATATTATTTTACTCTTTTCAGTTAATGAGGGAGTTGAAATGGAAATAGAAGAACTGCCTCTTCATGTCCCCGTTGCTTATACAGGTTTGGAAAGTGCACATGAAAGTCACGCTTACTTTGACTACAGAGGCAAATAAGAATTACAAAATGCAGAGCTTCTAGGTTGTCATTTTTTTATAGCATAATTGAAAAACCAATAATGCAGGAGTGTACCATACCTTGGTGCTGTTTGTTTCAGTAAGTGTGTCTGATATCTTTTATTTTCTATCACATGTGATGAGATAGTTGGGGCAAACTCAAGGGGTACCTGTTTTTCTGTATTTTTATTTTTCTTGCTTGCACGTGCATGTATGCGTGTGTACACACACATTATATATACACACACACACACACACGTGGACCAACAGATATGACCCTCCTGTGGGTATAGCCAGCCATTTGTTAAAGCAAATGGTTGCTTGGGTCAGGTGAAACTGAATAGTTTCCATCCTTGGGTTCTTAAATCAGCCATGACTACTTTAATGAATGGAGCACTGGTCAAGGCGTTAGGGAATTCAGCTTTTATTTGTGACTCCATTATTGACTTTATAGCCTCAGGCAGGTTAATTTCTGTGCCTTGGTGTCCTCACCTATAAAACATGGGTGATGCCTGCTGCTTTTCTCTTTCTTCAGAGCACAGTGAGGATTAATGAGCCAAAACACAGGGCCTGTCTGGTGGTTTGTACACCATGATTCTTCACTGCACTGTGAAGCTTATTAATATGCAAGGTGTAGGCATGAGACAGTGAGCCGACTCCGCCTTCACAGGCGCCTCTCAGATAAATGTGTTGTTTGTAAATAGGCTTACCGGGTGAAGTGGCAGATGTAGGTATCGCTGTAGCCCAGCAGCATCCAGGAGACCTTTCTGCGGTGATGGGAGTGCTCTCTATCTGTGCTGGGCCCTCGCTGCTGTTGAAATGTGCCTGTGCCTACTGAGGACCTAGATTTGAAAATGTATTTTAATCAATATAAATGGCCACATGGGCCAAGTGGCTACTGAATTGGACAGCTGCTTGATATAGTGAGGATAGTGGGGAGAGAGGATTTATTTGGTGAGAGGTTGGGGAAAACACTGGGCAGAGGTTGGTCGGGCGGCTTGGTGCCAGGACAGTGGAGATTGAATCGGGGGTGGGCGCGTGTGTGGTAGCTGTTTCTAAACGTTATTCCTTCCTTTCCAGACTGGTGGTCATCATACTCTGGTATTTGCTCTGTTTTTCGCTTTCTGTTTTATTTCCTAGTAGTTGTTGGTTCACCTGACTGGCTTCACCAGTTTTCTAACTGGTTTCCTCCTTTTCCGATTATTTTTCTTTGTTCATTCCCCACACTGCAGCGTGGTTCCTAAGGCCCTGGATGGTGTGGCACCACTAAGTTCTCCAGCCTCATCTTGCTACTCTTCCTCCCATCCCCCTTTCCCTTCAGCCTTTTTTATACCAGCCTTTCTAAATCACTCCTGCTCTCCTGGTCCTGCCAGGTGCCTAACATAGTCTGTACCCACATTCATTCGTAGTGGAAGCGAGTAAGTATTTGAATGCATGAAAAGATGGTATATTTTTTCCTCTCTTTTGAAAAAGGGTCAGATCTGACGACAATAGGAATAACCTCCCTCTGCTCCCCGATTCACTGTAAGTGTGGAGTGAAAGTCTAAAACCAAGTTTCCATAAGCTGCATCTTTTCTAGGGTGGTAGCACTGGTTCCTGGTAGATGTTAGGGTAAATGATGTGTGCTCCCTGGGCAGAATCCTTAGTCTCTTGTCCATTGGGCATCCATAGTATGTTACCTTTTGTGGGGTCATGGCTTCCCATTCCTACAGCCTTGACATTTTTAAGATCTGTTTTTCTTTCTGCCAGTGTTGTGTATTTTTAAGTACTGACAAGTGACAATAGATGGAATTCATTGTTTGACTTTCTCTGTTTAAGCATAGAGCATGGGGAGGGGAGCCTGGGGGGCTGTATGGACTTCTTACTACTCTTTTTTTTTTTTTTTTTGCCTGATGCTCTTGTTCGTTTTAAGCCATTAATATCTCTGACTCTAGAGTCTGAGTTGGCAAGCATATTATTTTTATTTTCTCTGCTTATATTTTTATTTCTCTTACATTTTTATTTCTGTTTATGTCTCTTTTACCCTTAATGGAACTCTTCTCTCAATCACCAGGACTAGACTCTTTCTATCCCTGGAAGAAGAAGGGTTGGAACCGGAAAGGGTGAAGGCTGTTCTTCTGTCCTTGCCTCTTGATGGCTTGGTACTTGGACTAATTGAAGTTGTACGTGGGTAGGGTCTATCTACTTTTTCTGAGTTTCCAAAGGGCAGTCTTCAGCTCTATAACAGACATTTTGTTAGTTGTCTTCATTCTTTCGAGGTTGAGGTAGTTTTCTTACTCGGATGCCTTCATTTTCTGGGTCTCCAGTGACATCCTGTTAGGTCCTCTCAGACTCTCGCCACTGCTCCTTTACTTCCTCATCCCTCATTGTTTATCTGCTCCTGGTGTTCTAGTGGAGTGAACAGACAGATCAGTGCCTTCATAGGTCAGTGCACAAGATTCTGTGGAAATCTAGATTGGGGGCTCTAAGTGTGACTAGAGGAAGTCATAAAAGGCTTTCTAGTGGAAGGAGCACTTCCACAGAATTGTGAAGAAGAGGAATAGGAGGATGGGCTTTCCAGAAGGAGTTGGTGGGTATTAAGATACACTGTAGCCAAGGCCGTTGTCCTTTCAGCTCTAGAAGCTTTGGTGATGGTAAGACTGGTATGAATGGGAGGACGATGGCCACTGAAGAGGCTGGGGAAGGTGGCCTTGTGTGCCAGAGGGGTCAAGTTTTACACCGAAACCTTCCCCCCAGCACAGGGGCTGGGAGCTCAGTGGAGAGGTGTGTCCAGTAACCCAGGGAGGTGAGTCTGAGCTAAAGTAGTGGTGGTGCATAAAAACTTGATTCTAATTTCAAATTTCAGTGGTCCACAAAAAAGCAGAAACATGACAGGATTTAATAGGCTCCATCTCCTGTGATGCAGGACTGAGGTTTCACCGATTATCTTTCAATGTTTAACATTTGTATGTGCCATTCTCCAGTTCATTAGCAATACTGGAGGGCTAAGGGTTTAGTGGGCTGTGTAGAAGCAGAAGCGTCCCTAATCCAAGCTCATGTTTAAAGACCATATGAGAAAGTGAGCTTTGTGTAGTTAAGACTTGAAATATAAATTAGAAGCCTGCCAGTTATTTTATGAAGGAAAACGTTATATAGACAGTACAAGTATCTCACTTGTTCAGACAATTGTTTTACTGGTTACTAGTTGCTGATGGTACTTTTGGGAAATACTTTCATTAACATTGTTTTATGTTGTCATAATGGTTATTCATATCTGTGTAAAACAAGTATACTATAGTTACTGTTTATTAAAATACACTTGCCTAGGCTTTTACATATTATTTCTTTGAAGTGTGAAATTTACAGTTGTCTTTCTTAAGAAGTCCTTTGGTGTACAGTGATTTTTTTGACGGCATATAATGTGACATCTTTTTTTGCTGTTGATTATTCATTTTTGTACTTGGTGGTTTAAGACCTAGAATATTGATTCATTATCTCAGATTTCTATTTTGATTGTCATACAGAATATATGTGTGAGGGGATTATTTATTTGGCATGTGAGCACAGTAATTTAAGAGAATGAAATTAAGAAGTATCAAGTATAGTGGATGAAATCAAGTACCTTTTGAAATGAACTGAGATTGCTCTAAATGTATGGGAATTTGGAATGACCCCAAATCCAGCACAATGGCTTATCACTTTGTTGTAAACCAGAAGGCAGAAACACAATACAACTCTTGGCTGGAGAAGGACTGTTGCCAGAGAAGGGTTGCAAATTATTGAACCTAGGCCTAAAGGGAAATCTGAGAGTACTAATTTGTCGATGTTTATGGGCATATCCCAAGAAGGGTGAGTGAACGGATAGTCATGAGTAGCAGTCATTAGAGAAATGGTTACTGTGGTTTATTTCTTCAGGCACTAGCTATCTCTTCCTGCTATGCCATCAAAACCGCTTTCTCCAAGGTCACTAATGACCTTGTCTCCAAACCAAATTGGTGCTTCTGTCCCTCGTTTATATGCCCTTCACACAGCATCAGAGTTGACTCCTTCCTCCTTCCTCTTCCTTCTACTGTTTCCTTCCAGATCTCTCTCTGTACATTCAGTACAATTTTAAAAACTGGTATTGTACCATGTTTATCGTTTTATGTCCTCTTGAACACATTGCATGTTCATATGCACGCACGTTAATGGCCATTACATGGATATACCATAATCTGAAAAACCATAAAAGCTTATAAAAGAAATGGTCATTTTAGGAAACTTTTTTGTCATAATAAAATATATTGAAATTATTCTGAAACCATATGTAAGGAAGTGGAAGAGTAGACAAAAGTTGTATATTTTTAATAATTATAATTTTTATAATTTTATAACAAAAATTATAATTATATAATAAAATAATTATAATTTAAAAACTAATGATGGGCAATATTGACTATTGGAATAAACAAGAAAAACACAACCTTAGTCAAGTCATTAGAACCTTGTTCTTTCTGTTTTCTTATCTATGAAATGGCAGATTTCTACTATTTCTTAATTATCTTCCAGTGTAACATATTCTATGACTTGTGAATTAGTACACGCTGAGATGTCTGCATCAGTGTCAGCTTGTTCCCTAAACCACCAGTTGATTCTCTTGATGGCTGTGATTACTACACAATGTACATCCATATTAAAGTTAATTTTCAAAGTGCCCTGCTTACTGCTTTATTCATTTGTTTGTCATGTGGCATGGTTTTCTTTCTGCAGATACGAATTCCTGTCCTGTGCATTTATCTAATTTCTGTATTTGTTTATGTAGAATATAGAGCTTATCATAGCTATGGGAAATTATTTTTATTTGCATTTGAAAGCCTCTTGCCCTTGGTGATTAATGTTTATGAAGCTATATTAGAAATATGAGTATGAATACAGAAGAATACAGAGTTGTGAAAACATTCATCTGTAAGTAACAACATATTCAATTAAAAATACTCCCTAGAATGGTCTGATGTCAAATTGAAATTTCACATCTTTTTTCCATTGACTTCAGCAGCTTGTGATACTCGATCCTTACAGCTTTGTGTGAATTCTGAGTCATTCATTTTAGTAAAAGTTGTATATTATTAAGGAAGTTGAAAAAATTCTTCCCCTGGCGCATGCATTTAGTTAAAAATCAAGTCACACATTCTATTTATTTACTTAAACCCATCTGCACTTATTTTACCAGTAACATATTTGGTTTGCGGCCTGTGGATTATGCAGACGGTGAAAATATGAAATCACTATTGCTGCTGCCAGAGAAGAATGAATCATCATCAACTCGCCATTACTCAGTAGTAAGTATGGATTAGGCCTTGGGAAATTTATGTCTTTTATTGAAATTGGTTGTGAAAGGAACATAATAGGAAAATTTCTACTTAGCAAATTGCTTTCAATCACCAAACAATTATTGAACACTTCCTTTGTATTAGGAATTGTGAGTTCAGAGACTGTTATCATCAGAATAAGTCTAACAACAAGTATTTTTTTGAGCCCCCCTCTATATTTTAGGGAGCATTCATACTGCAACCAATGTGACAGATGGGGCTCTTGTTCTCAAGGAGCTAACACTAATGAGAGATAGGAAAGAGAGAGACTGTAAATATGTAAGCTAATATAAATGAAATAGTTTGAGGAACTTACAAATGTGTGGTTTGAAGATTTTGTAGAGTGTAATTGAGTGGAGGTGGAGGGCTCCAGTTTAAAAGGTACTGCTTTAGCTGGGGTCATTGAGGAGGGCCTCCAGAGAGCTGATGTTTGATGTAAAACTTGAATGAGGAGGAGGACGAGGCATCTGGGTGAACATCTGTCTGGACGACAAGTGTTCCCTATAGTAAATATTGTATAGGGTCCCTCAGTGGATGAGCTTGGTGTGTTTGAAGGTTAGAGAGGAGGTTGTACTTGCTGGCGACTAGTCAGTGTCTAAGAGTAATGGAAACCACTGAAAGGATTTAAAGCAAGGGAATGACATGATTCGATTTATGTTTTAGAAAGTTCACTCTGGCTGATTTGTAGTAAAGAGACAGGGGTGGGGCAAGAGCAGAAGCAGGGCGGTTACTGAGGACTGTTTCACTGTGACGAGAAGAGATAGCACCCAGATTAAGATAATGGCCGTGGAGATTGTGAGAAGTAATGAGGTTTAGTGTATATTTTTGAGTTAATGGCAACAAACTTTCTGATGGATTATATATGAAGTGTGGATAAATAGAACTAGTGTGACTTTAGCGGTGGGGTGGTAGATGGTGGTGCCATTTCCTGCTGTGGGGAAGGAAATCAGTAATTCCCTGCCAATTTTATGTCTGTAAGGCAGCAAACATGTTGAATGGTCAGGTGAGTCTGTAGCTTAGGAAAGAGTGGTAAGTTAGAGAAAGTGGAAGGAATGCTTATTCCTTAGGAACTTATGGTTTAGTGGGGAATATAGATGTTAAAAAAGTTCATTACATACTGTAATAAATTTATAATAGAAGCCATAAAAATGTACAGTAGATTCATAGAGAAGGAAGAAGCTGACTTCAGGAGGGATCAGAAGAGTTTCACAGAGAAGGTGACAAAGAAGGCATGTAAACTTGTAAAGGTAAAAGTTTTAGCAAGGCGTCTAATAGAATGTTGGCTGCAGATAACAAAACAGTTACTTAAATGCCTAAAGGCAGTGTTTTATTTTATCTAAAGATAATCTCAGTATAGGAGAGCTTTCCTTGGTGAGTTCAGCAATTAAATGGCTGCCCCAGAGACCCAAATTCTGTCTGTCTGTGTTGCCATCCTCAGCTTGATGGCTTTGTCCTCACTTGACTAATCTCCCCTCAGTGATGATAGGACGATTGCCACAATTGTAGATGGGACAGTGTCCAGTGTTAAAAGAGGGACTAAAACCTTCCCCAGAAGCCTTCCACTGGACTTCCCCTTATGTCAGAACTGGTCACACAATTGGTGCTGACATACATTGTGGTTGAAGACAGGGTCAGCCCTTGAAGAGTGGGTATCTGTAAAAATCGGGATTCTGTTAGTGTGGAGAAAGTGAGGCATGGGTCCAGTGAGCATTGCCCCATTGTGAATCAGGTATACAAAGTGGGGATGGCAGTCCAAATCTAAGGAACAACAGCTTGAAGACAAGGAAGCGTAAAGGACCTTCAAAATCTGAGAAACTAGATATAGTGTGAGAAGAGCACAAGGTGTATTATTAGAGAGGAGCTGGAGCGAGGTTGGGATCAGATTTTAAAAGGCTTTGGATCCCCTGAGGAGGAGTTAGGCGTTACTGGTCCACTCAGTGGGGTACTCGCAGTGCGTGTTAGCGCAGAGGACAGCTCGGAGTGGGCCGAGACTGAAGACTGGTCTGGAGGCTGTGAGGTAGACAGAGCTCTGATGTGAAAGGATGGTGTGATGTGGGTAGGGAGAGAAGAGGGGTTTTCAAGAGAGGGTTGTGGGAGGCACATCACAACTGCCCAGATAGGGGAAGATGAGGGAAAGGGATGACTTGAGGTCTATGACCAGAGGTCCTGCGCTTCTTGTCTAGTGAGGACAGTGGTGCAGTGATTGATGCCATTGTTGAAGACGAGGAGGTGACCTAAGGTACTTGAGGGGATCATAGGTGCTGTCGCAGGCTAGTTCCTTTGTACTCGGAGAACTCTCTTATCTCCCGCCTTCTCCTGGACGTCAGCTCTGCAAATGGGCACCAAGCTGGAATTTTGATAATGAACGGAAAGAGAAAGTAGAAATCAGCAGTTTAATTTTCTTAGTTTATAAATGAGAAAGCTGAAACCTAGTTTGATTTGCTCATGGTTAAGGAGCCATTATAAAAAAAAGAAAACAAAAAGTAAGGTTTTTTTTTTTTTTTTTTAAAGATTTTATTTATTTATTTGACAGAGAGAGATAACGAGAGCAGGAACACAAGCAGGGGGAGTGGGAGAGGGAGAAGCAGGCTTCCTGCCGAGCAGGGAGCCCGATGTGGGGCTCGATCCCAGGACTCTGGGATCATGACCTGAGCCGAAGGCAGACGCTTAACGACTGAGCCACCCAGGCGCCCCAAGTTTTTTTTTTTTTTAATGGATCAGTTAGAACTTGAATTTCTTACATCTTAGGTAAGTACTCATTCAGTCCCACCATACTTAATATGGTAAAATAAATTGGCATTTATTTTATTCATTAGGACTTGGACTCTCCTGGCAGAACATAGAACTAAGAACTAAGTTGTCATTTGCCAATGTTGCTTTTATGAAAAGCTGGAGAAGGATTGTTTTAAATGTGTCAAAAATAAAGATGTCACTATGGTATTCTTGGAGTGTGAAAATGGGAAATTGGTTATCGTCCTCTCAATTCTACTATCCATTTACTGTTTTTATTAAATGTAAGAAACCTATGCTTTCCTACATGGACATGGCCTGAGAATATCATTGTTTACTACCTTAGTGGTAGATTTTTGGCTAAGGAAAAGCTAATGGACAGAAGTCCTAAGTTGCAAGGGTTGTGTCTTTCTGGAGTCTGTCTTCGCTCAGCTGCTGCCAGACTCCCTTTCACTCACTCTTTTTCAGCCACGTTGGGCTGCCTCACTGTTTCTTAAATCCACCAACCACACTCCGATTTCAGGTCCTCCGCACTAGCTGTTTTCTCTGCCAGGAACAGTTGTAGGGAGCTGGGTGTATGCATGGCATCCGACTCTGGTGGAGTCCTATCAGGGAGGGCTCTGTACTGCCGTATCTGACATAGCAGAGTGCTTCCTATCCTCCCAGCCCGGCTTTATTTTCCCGTATCACTAATAATTTTTATTGGATTCTTTCCCCCATTGTTTTTACGCCCACAGCCAAGTGCCCAGATACCAACAGACCCAAGACTTTGTTTGAATTTTTAGTTCTTAGAATTTAGCTCAGGGCCTTAAGATAATGGCATGGGTATTGAGAAATACATATCTGCTCTATGCGAAACAGCAATGCAGGCGTGATGATAAATGTGTTCACGTATCTGACAAATATTTATTGGGTGTCTGCAATATATCAGTCAGTGTTCCAGGCACTTGGGGATACCGTGATCTCTGCTAGGTTGGAACTTCAATTTGAGAGTGAAGATGGAGACACACAGGGTGCCTGGCTGGCTCAGTCGGTTAAGCGTGGCGTCTGCCTTCGGCTCAGGTCATGATCCCAGGGTCCTGGGATCGAGCTCCCTTGGAGGGCTCCTTGTTCAGCAGGCAGTCTGCTTCTCCCTCTCCCTCTGCCCTCCCCCCTACTGTGCTCTCTCACTCTCTTGCTCTCTCTCAAATAAATAAAATCTTTAAAAAAAAAAAAGAGTTTGTTTAATGTCATTGTACATAGTAACTAATATCTATAGAATCAGGGTACTGAACCCTTGGGATGTTTTCTGAACATCTTTTGAACCTCATGGTTCTAAGATCTCTGTTTATTCAAGCTAAATTCCTCGCCCACCCCTCACCTCCTGTTCCAAATCAAATGTGTGGCGTTGGTGGCCGTTTGCTTTATTATGATTACTTTTTTTAATAGTATTTCTTAACTATGAGAAATTAGTGCCAGTTTCTATTTTTTATTCAAATGTAGAAACTGATAGGAAAATGCTTGACCCACTTTGGTGCTTTTCTGGGGTTGATGGAAATAGTATCATATGCTGTATTTAGAATTGATATCTTTTCACTCTTGGTATTTTGTGTAGAGAACTCATTTAGCTGAAGTGGAGTTATATAAATTGGAAAATAATGTGTTGCATTTAAAGCTATTTTTGTGGCACTTATTTGTATAACTGACAATTTTTGAATTACTATTTTTATTATTATTATCATTTTTTAAAGATGTTATTTATTTATTTGACACAGAGAGAGAGAGACAGCAAGAGAGTGAACACAAGCAGGGGGAGTGGGAGAGGGAGAAGCAGGCTCCCTGCTGAGCCAGGGAGCCAGATGAGGGGCTCGATCCCAGGACCCTGGGATCATGACCTGAGCCGAAGGCAGACGCTTAACGACTGAGCCACCCAGGCACCCCCCCCTTTTTTTTTTAACTAGTATTTAGTAATTGAATGATCCATGAAGTGTACTGCACTATTTTCATCTTAAGGAATATTTGCAGTGTTTAGATTAGACATGGTTATATCACCTTATAACTTAATGAATAGGGAAGATACATATACAGAAATGTGATGTCAGTATGTGTAAACTTTTCCAGTAAAACGTTTGCGCCTTGAACCCTAGATGAATAAGTAATTCAGGAAACTTAACTTCTAAGTGCTGAATATTGTCATCATAAAAACCTTTTATAGAAATCCATAGATCCATTCAATAGATTTGAATGAATGAGGTCGATCTGTTTATGGATATAGCTAAACAACTTAGATGTTACATTGTAGCGCGTCAGACTGAATTATCACTACTCTGATATGTGAAGTGAATATTTAAATACTAACTGTCTCAAATCTAGTTGCTGAACTGTACTAGTGATCATACCTTCAGTGTTTCACTCATGTTCTTCGGAGCTTTTGAGAACCCAGAAAAATCCTCTGCATATAAAGTCACACACGTCAGAGGACCCTGTGTCTAGTATTTGAAAATTTCAGTACTGTATTTGGCTTTTTGTCCTCTAATTTTCTTCTTTGCTGGGTCGTTGCTCGTCTCTTACCGGATGGCTTGTGGCCAGCCCTCACTCCAGTTCTGTTCGTTAAGTTCTTTTGGCTGCTGTTGGGCACACATCTCCTTGTTTCTTTGAATCTTTCGCTTCTGATCTCAAATGCTGTCCACTGGTGTCTTTGTTTTTGTTTCGTGTAAGCTCTATGTCTCTCTCTTCAAGTGAAAATATTGGTTGTTGTTAGAGCAGTTCTTTCCTTTTCATGAGCTGCGTTGAGTTATTACTGTTGGTGGATCTGATCTAACTTTTGTGTTCTCTTGTCTGTTTTAATTTTCTTGGTTTTGATAGGTAGCTGTTTTGATGTTAAGAGTTTGTTCTATTTTTGAGCTCCGTGCTATTAGAAGCTTTAGTATTCTTTGATTTTTCACATAATCTCAGTTTAAAATAGAAAGACCAAACTGAGTTTTAACTTTAGTGGAGTAAGTTAGTGGAGGGGAGATAAGGAATTGATCATTTTTTAAGGGGGTGTTTTGGGTTACTTAAGAAAAAAAAAAAGGCTTCCTGGTGACAGAATGAAGTCGTAAAATCCTACAGAGATCCAATTTAGAATCAAGGAGACAAGATGCCCTGGGTTTAGATTGCTACCCCAAATAACATTTTATTGGGGGAAAAAATAAGGGACTAATAAAATGCATTGAGCATTAAGGCTCTTGAGTGACGATTCGATGGACATTGTGGGGAATTACTAGATAGAGGAAGATAAGTACAGAGACTCAAGCTTCTATCAAGTGCAAGTCAGTTAATATCTTTCTCTAGTCTAAATGATTTTAACACTGTGGTATCTCCCCTTTCTTAACAGATGAACACTGGTCAGCATAGGGATGGACCTCTTGTGCTTATAGGCAGTGGGCTTTCTTCAGAACAACAAAAAATGCTCAGTGAGCTTGCAGCAATTCTTAAGGCTAAAAAATGTGCTGAATTTGACAATACAGGTGAGGAGTTTTATATATTTTTGGTTCAAAAAATTTTTAAATAAGTAATCCCTTTGTAGACCTCCCTTGATAATTTGTATGTTTTAACTATTGGAGATTGGCAGTATACTTTGAATCTTGTAATACATCGAAAATGTGTTTATAGTTATAAACTACTTACAGGCCTAATTTAGTTAGGAAACATGAAGTTTAAAGCTTTGCACATACTTTAAGACAGAACAAGTGTCAGAAGGGCAAACTTATGGGTTCACTAATGACAGATAAATTGTGTGCAATGTAATGCTTTAATTCTTTAGTTATAATTTGAAAATAAAAGAAAAATATATGTTTGCTAACGTGGCTTTAAGGTACATGGTTTATGATCTGATATTTCATGTTGTTGGCCAGGATGGAGAATGATACCAAACTTAAAAAGTCTTATGTCTAAGTATAAAGATTGTTGCTTTTGAAGAAAATTCAGATTCTGAAGTGCAGACTAACTGGTTATAATAGTTAAAGAATTATTTTGGTTTATATCTCTGTTTCTCTTCTTTTTTTTTTGTTCTAGTAACTCATGTCATTGTTCCTGGGGATACAGTTCAAAGTACCCTAAAATGTATGCTTGGGATTCTCAATGGATGTTGGATCTTAAAATTTGAATGTAAGTACTGGACTTGGGAGAACTACAAAATGAATTAAGTTAACTAATTTCATTTTTTATGGTGTTCTACTGCCAATAATTATTTAAGGAACTTAATGCTTTTTTTTTTACCCCCTGGTTAGTCACTGCATTTTGAAAAAGCTTCTTATATTAGTGGTATCATTTAGATGTTCTTGATGTGTCCACAGAAGTGCTTTTTAGTCTTTTTTAAAGTCTTTTTTTCTCTACTATGAACTATTTTAATAAAGAGTAAATGGATTACATAGTAGACTTTTAAGCTTAAACAATCCATATCACTGTTGAGATACATTTAACTTAATAAACACATGTTTTAAATACACTACCATGATGTGAAATAGTTTATGGCTTTTGTTTTATGACTTTTTTTTAGGTGTGGGGAAGGAATAGAGGGCGAGGGAGAGAGAATCTTAAGCAGGTTCCACACCCATGGCGGAGCCCGACCCGGGGTTCGATCTCACCCCTCTGAGATCATGACCTGAGCTGAAACCAAGAGTCAGACGCTTAACCAACTGAGCCTCCCAGGCACCTTGCTTTATGATTTCTGAAAACTGTGTATGCTTTCTTAGCTGATCCACTGTATTTTTGGAAACTGTTGGAAGTTTCGACTGCCTTGTACTACCTGATTTGGAGTGATTACACCAGCTGTTAATCCACACCTTTGCTAAAGATGCATCATCCTTATTTGCTTCTTCTTCTTTTTTTTTTTTTAAATATTTTATTTATTTATTTGAGAGAGACAGAGATAGTGAGAGAGAGCTTGAGCAGGAAGGAGGGGGAGAAGCAGGCTTCCCGCGGAGCAGGGAGCCTGATGCGGGGCTCGATCCCAGGACCCCGGGATCCTGACCTGAGCCGAAGGTAGAGGCTTAACCATCTGAGCCACCCAGGCGCCCCTTTATTTGCTTCTTATTGGTGCTCAAGCACCATTGCTTTGAGAACAGCCTTTCCCCTTCCCTGCTCTCACTTGTTCGCTTTTCTTACCCTTGGATTCACTTAGGACTTCAAACAACAAAAGAAAGCTCATGCAGGGTTATTTCCTATTCTTCAATAACTAAAGTATCTACTTTGCATATGATGGCTAAAATAGGACGGTGGGTATACCTGTTTTGTGCACTAGTTTTTTAGAAGAGAATAATGGCTGTAAAAGGGGTACACAGGGGTCTTGTGATGATGGGGCCAAGTATCTTGATCCTAGCGGTGGTTACATTACACACATGATTAAATTGTATAGATCTGCATGCATATGCACACACACAGACCTGAGTGCATGTGTAACTGATGAAATCTGAATAAGCTCTATGGATTGTATCCGTGTCAAATTCTTGGTTTTGATATTGTGCTCTAAATGTGTGTAGGGAGTTAGATTGGACACTGGAGGAAGGGCGCATGGGACTTCCTGTACATTTCTGTGTATCATCCTATGAATCTATAATTATTTCAGATTAAAAAGATAAAAAAGGATAGCAAGTATTTTTAATGAAACCTTGTTTTTAAGAAGCAAAAGATGGTTAGAATTAGTTTTAAAAAACTTTATGTTATGGCTTTGTGCTTTGAAGGTTTTATGGTAGAAATGCTTGATTTATCAAGATCTTAATTGTGTTATTAATTTGATCTCTAGTTTGAAATTAATTGGGTTTGTAGAATGGTTTCCCTTTAGCAATTGGTATTCGTGTCCTTCTTAAATGCAGCTACCACTGTCCTTGTGATGCCATTCTCCACTGATGGGTCAGATCCAGTGAAGGCTGTGACCATCAAGCACTGTTACTCATTTCTGCTCATCCTGTCTGTGATTAGTCTGTCCTGGTTATGACCAGTTCAAGGACTATGATAAGCAGTCGGACTGACGGATTATGTATATAGAAAAAAAAAGTTTCCCTTTCTGCCTCACTCTTATTTTTGAACTTCTTTTCCCTTTTAAATCTGTGGCAAGTCTTATTGGGCCTTAGTGTTTAACACATTTGGTTTCATGATTGTAGATGCTGTTTTACTGAACCTGCTCCAGAAGCTTTGCCAGCGGTTATAGGAAGGAACAGATTTTCGTAATAACAAGGTCTTAACAATAAAGAAGCCATGTGGAATTTTGAATGTTAAAGCATTGCCAATTTAAGTCTTGTTCTTGTGAATATGCCCAACTTGCATCTGGTTAAATGTACACGCTACATGATTCATTTCCATAAAATCTGCCTTCTTTAAGAAATGGAAGTTTTATCATTTTAATGGCTTGGCCATGTCATTTTTATAGAATCACAATGGACTCAAGCTGACTCAGTAGTGTGTTGTTTGGTGATTCGCACAGTGGGGAATAACACACTCCAGTGTCAGTAGTTCTGTAGGATAAAGGATGCGTGGAATCTTTTTTTTTCATTGTTTTAATTTTTTTAGATTTATTTATTTATTTATTTATTAGAGAGAGAGAGAGAGAGAGAGAGCACAAGCAGGGGGAGTAGCAGGCAGAGGGAGAGGGAGAAGCAGGCTCCCCGAAGAGCAGGGAACCCGATGTGGGACTCAATCCCAGGGCCCTGGGATCATGACCTGAGCTGAAGGCAGACACTTAACCGACTGAGCCACCCAGGTACCCTCATTGCATGGAATCTCTTACTAAAGTTCATATCCTGGTACTTTCTAACAAAGAGTCCAAAGAGAAATAGGGTCAGGGTTTGGGACAATTACTGTTGTAAATAGTCACTGGGTCTATCAAGAGAAGGCAAGAAACTGCGAATACCTTCTGTCCTAATATATATTTCTCACTACATTGTTTTTTGTGTCAGACCTGTCAGTTTGATTTTTTAAAATGTTCAAATCTATTCAGAACTTTCTGAAACAAACATGTATGTTGAAGAAACATGAGATGGACCAAAGCTTTCAAAATTAATTGTAAAGATTTATGACTTACTGAAAGTAGGTCTTGTGGTTGAAGATACCAATTAGCTTCCTGGTAGACAAAATCTTTACTTGTTTAACTATGTGGAAACATCAATATTCTCTTTTCATGGGATTTTTCCATAAACCAGGTAGATTCAAGAGGAAATTCTATCTAAACTTTTCTCTGTAGATAATTACCAAAATAACCTAACAAGTTAAACAAATTTAAACAAATTAACAAAAAGGAATTATAGCTATCTAAATTTACCTGTTGGAAATTTTCTGTTTTAACCATGTTTGTCTTAATTGGTTACTATCTCCTTATTTTCCCACATTATATATGTAGAGTATATTACAGTGTCACAGGTAATGGATATACCAATGGAGATTCTGAGAATAGGCTGTAGTTACACTATTGTGCCAGCCATTTGTTTCTTATTTATTTTATAGATATTTTACAGAAATGAGAGATACAGATAGGAAAATTCCTTTAAGATTAAGTTTATGGCTGAGCTCCTGCTTAAGTCCTGGTTCTGTGCTAATTCCTCACATGCAACTTAGAACCGTCATCGTACAAATTAAAGACATGACTAGAATGAAAAAATAGAAGATACACGAATAAGTGATTTTTATTCACCTTCTAGACTGTGAATACAGTGGAACTACATCCTAAAGATGTAAACTAGCCTTCAAAAAGAGGAAATGTCTTTTATTGACCTATCCTTTTAGTACAGTGCTTTCAAAATTTCCTCTAGCCTGAGCTGTTTTTTTTTTTTTTTTTTTAATTAATTCTGCCTCTTCACTTCTCATCTCAATGTGAAGAGGAGAGCAGATGGCTGTCATCTTTTCTTAATAATCTCTCCCTCTTCCCCATTCTCCTCTACGTTTCGCTGCTGGAGAAGTTTTGAAAGTCCTTAGCACCCGAGGGCATTGCCATGGGAATGTGCCAAACATTTTACACTGGCCTGGTGTCTGTGAGGTGAGGAAGCACCAAGTAGGGTGATTTTTTTGTGTCTGTTTTAGTTGAGATGGATGGAACCCAAAAGGCAATCATTATACCATCATATTATAAATAACCTCATAATCAGGTTAACAAACTTAGACTTTTCTATTAAATATGTTTGTTCAAATTTTATTCTATTCAATAAAATGAATAGAATCTATTCAGTTCTATTTAAACTTTGCTAATTTCTAAAAAAATAAATATAGCAAAGCATTTCTTTTTTTTGTTATGTTAGTCACCATACATTACATCATTAGTTTTTGATGTAGTGTTCCATGATTGTTTGCGTATAACACCCAGTGCTCCATGCAGTACGTGCCCTCTTTAATACCCATCACCAGGCTAACCCATCCCCCCACCCCCTCCCCTCTAGAACCCTCAGTTTGTTTCTCAGAGTCCATAGACTCTCATGGTTCATCTCTCCCTCCTATTTCCCACCCTTCATTTTTCCCTTCCTGCTATCTTCTTTTTTTTTTCTTCTTTTTAACATATAATGTATTATTTGTTTAAGAGGTACAGGTCTGTGATTCAACAGTCTTACACAATTCACAGCGCTCACCATAGCACATACCCTCCCCAATGTCTGTCACCCAGTCACCCCATCCCTCCTATCCCCCCACCATGCCAGCAACCCTCAGTTTGTTTCCTGAGATTAAGAATTCCTCATATCAGTGAGGTCATATGATACATGTCTTTCTGTGATTGACTTATTTCGCTCAGCATAATACCCTCCAGTTCCATCCACGTCGTTGCAAATGGCAAGATTTCATTCCTTTTGATGGCTGCATAATATTCATTGTATATATATACCACATCTTCTTTATCCATTCATCTGTCGATGGACATCTTGGCTCTTTCCATAGTTTGGCTATTGTGGACATTGCTGCTATAAACATCAGGGTGCACGTACCCCTTCGGATCCCTACATTTGTATCTCTGGGGTAAATACCCAGTAGTGCAATTCCTGGATCATATGGTAGCTCTATTTTCAACTTTTTGAGGAATCTCCATACTGTTTTCCAGAGTGGCTGCACCAGCTTGCGTTCCCACCAACAGTGTAGGAGGGCTCCCCTTTCTCCGCATCCCTGCCAACATCTGTTCTTTCCTGACTTGTTCA